CATCATCATCATCATCATCATCATCATCATCAACAACAACAACAACAACAACAACAACAACAACAACAACAACAACAACAACAACAATAGTATGCTATTGAGTTCATTTCATTATATACAGTAGTGACCCTTTTCAGGATTTTCTAGGTATAGAAAGTACATAGATGTGGTTTACTATTCCCTTCTGAGGGTATTCTGGGACTTCTGTGAAGCTGGCTCTTCTCCCAGGGGCACAATGGTGAATCATACTCCCAGCACTTTGCTCCACAGCCAGGTACTTCTCACTGAGCTATAGAGCCAGGTTGTTAGATAATATATTTTACTAAATAAAATCATTATAATAGATATCTATATACATTGAAACAGAGAAGGAAGCATACTCTGTATCCATGTTGCAGTATTCCCTTATTTGTATTCTCTATTACACCTGGTAATGTCTAGATACTGATATATCAGGGCCAAGATCTGGCACCCGAGAATGAGGCCAGAGGCCCCAAGCATAAGCCGTAGCCTACCTGTAAGATCTTAATCCACTATACAGGTGGCTTCTTGATTCTTGTCCAAGTGGAAGCTGAGCCCACACCATTCTTGCTGTGATTGGCAGGGTCATGTTTGCTCCTGCGGCTGAATTCCTTGACAGGGCCAACATCCCCCTGGGCTGAGCAAAACCTGCCTAAGTTTGGTTTGAAAATGTTGTATTTTGGCTGCATGCCCAAGTACTAAATCCACAATAGGTGAGTCACACCTGGGTCATCTGTGTACGAATTAAGTGTGTTTGTGTCAGATGGATGTGTAAGCATATCATGTGGGAGAGAATGGAGTTGTGTATATTTGTGTGTACTGTATACGCCCATCAACCCCTGGCTTTTAACATTTGACCACAATAGATTTTGACCTTTTCTGCTTCTCCCTCCCCCCGCTTCTTAAGTTTGTAACACCTAGCCTGATGAATAGTTTTGAACAACTCCAAAGCTCCCCCTTTTCCTCCTCACTGCACGGGGCTTTCTGTTTTAAAAAATATTTTAGTACCCTGGTAAAAGTATTGCCCAACTCTGCTTAGAAAAGCTGAGTGTATGGGAGCATGTGAAGAAAATGTTGTGAAAACAAAACAAAACAAAATGCTTATGTGGCTCAGCAAGGGCAACAGTTTAGCTTACAGCTAGCTGAAGATGCGTTGTTTTCTAAGACAGAGATGAAGATGTACCCCATCCCATGGCCTCTGCAAAAGCCAACTGGATTGGCCATTCAGTCTTTCATCAACATTAACGATAGGACTTTGTCCTCCAATGTAAAAGGCTAGCTTTCAAACGACCTGCTGCCAGCTGTAAACATTGCTACCTGAAGTGTCTATTCTACCCTGCTTCATGGCAGGACTGACCTTGGTCTGGCTCTATTTGTGCTGAGGAAAGTTTCCAAGCATTAGCATCTTACCACACTGCAAAAACAGAACCCTGCAATCAGAGCACCTAAAATAACCCAAAAAAAGACATGTTGTGACATGGAGTAAATCCTGTACAATGTTACGAGCACCTAAAATAACCCAAAAAAGACATGTTGTGACATGGAGTAAATGATCCCCATTGCTATGTGAACTGCTTCAAATAACAGCTCCTTATTATGTAGCAGCACTTGCCATGTACTGCTGTGAATTCCTATGGACTCCCATGTTACATGTGTACTTGCAAGGAATTGGAAGAATAATAATCTGTTTAATAGGGAGGATTGGTATAAAGAAATGTGGAATTTGGCTATTAATAATAAATTAAACTCTGAATTGAAAGTTAGAAAAGGAATACTGAAATAAAACTGTTTTCATGAGATTTCAAATACTTTTAAAAACACATGTAAGGAGGTTACCTATCTCCAACCCTAGTTCTTCGAGTGGTCCTCTGTGAATTCACACGTTTGGATCGTTTGGAGTGTGAACGTTGAATGGTCGGCAGCGAGTGTTTCAAGGATGGTTTAATTGGAGGAGTAGGATAAGTCTGCATAGAATGTTGTGATCAATGTTGATGCGGTGGTGTGGATGGAGAGAGTAAGGGCGAATACCAAGATGGTTATGGTACAATATACCTCACTCTTCTGGGTTCGTCATAGTAAAGCTGTTCCTGAGGTTCTTCAATTAAATACAGGTCATAATAATGGTATCTCTCCCTCCGTTCGTCACAAGTTTGATATCGTGGAGAATGAGGGTAATAATAGTACTCTCAGTATGGAGGAACATACTGAGGAGGTGAAAGATTTTTACATTTCTCTCAGTGCTTCCTGGGTGAGTGGTGAGATTACTCCGAGCCCAAAAGCTCTATTGCAATTGCCTGCCCTGATGAAGGGCTGGAATGGATTGAGGCCTGGCTGGATTGCACATCAGCCGGAGAAAGGCCGATATGAGGCGACAAGCTACCGGTCGAAACTGGAGCCTGCGCCAATGTTAAGGGAGGTTGTTCCCTCTCGGATGTAGACCCTGGAGCATCCTTGGAAGATTCCTCCATGATAGGAGATGGCAGAGTTGGTTGTGGTGGGTCAATGTGAGTAGATTTGACCTTTTCATCTTTTTAGAAATTGTTTTATCTTTTTTCTTTTTAGACGAATCCGGGCCTTGAGCCAAGGTCTTTGACCTCGACTTCAACCTCGATGCTGATTTTGTTTTCTCTGACTTCTCCTTAGGATGTAGAGAGGAAGTCATTGAACCGGGAGCAGGCTGCGGTGGAATTTGCCGCTCTATCAGAAGATCTGGGAACCCTATTGTCTCCCTAGAAGCTGATGGAGGATTGAGAGACTTCTCCCAAAGATAGGACCTCAGTCTCTGGAGCTGAAGTTTGAGGGCCGGCTTTGTTAATCTCTTGCATGCCGCATAAGAATAGGTGGAATGTTGTTCACCAAGTCAAAATAAACAGCGGTCGTGGCCATCGGTTAAAGGTATTTCGTTCGCACAAACAACACACCACTTAAACGGGCCAGGTGAGGCCATGAAGAGTGGGGAAAAAGAAGGGGGAAATGGATTGAGGAGGAGGAGGGGGGAAGGGAAGCAAAACATGCGGCTAGATAAAAATAGAATGAATTTACAGGGGAACGTCAATTGACTGATTAGAAATAAAGAGATAAAATTTGAAAAGCGATAGGTCTGAATTCTCAATTGACAAATGCTCAATTCTTCTGAAACACGTCTAAGTGACACAGCAGAAAAAAGGAATTGAGGGGATCTAGGATGGGTGGAGAATGTGCTCCATGGGGGAACATCCCACTAATCATGTGTTTTTAAGCTCTAGAAACTTCCGAGACATTCAGTGCAGGTGCAGAACAACCTATTTGGGTGATATCACACAGGCCACTAAGAAGAAACAGTATTTAATAAACATAAAGGTTGTACTCTGACACAAGAATAATTATATTTCTAGAAACAGATGGGGCACATAATAGGAAACAAAATAAGAGGAAATTTTAAAAATTGGGGGGGAAATATCCTGAGGGTGGTAAGACTGTACACTTGAGTTATGAATGTGTCTTGTTTCATGTTTTTGTTATATATTGTTTAAAGTTTAGTCTTTATGTCATATTATTCTTATATATAATTAAAAACAAACAAAACAAAACATGTTATATGTGTACATGGCATTCCAGATTGTCATCTGAGGTACAGTGGGTGGATTTAAGGGAGCCTCGTGGACTCAGGTAGGTGGGGTACCATCCTACAAAATATCATTTGGTGCCCCTGCCGCAGCCCTGATAGCAAGTTTTTGATGTGTGGAGTGCATATACAGTGGTGCCTTGATTTATGACCATAATCTGTTCCAGAAGATGGATGTAACTCGAAATGGTCATAAGTCAAAGCACCATTTCCCATAGGTATGCAGTGAAATGCAATTAATCTGTTCCGGCCAAAGAAAAAAATCACAAAAAATCAGTCCAAGACTCATTGGAGATGCGATTAATCGCTTCTGGCCGAAGGAGGGGAGGGGAGAGATAAGCAATCAAGCATGCAAGACCCATTGGGAAAAAAACGGAGCAGATCAGAAATGCACAGAGAACAACGGGGGCAGGTCAGAAATGCAAAGAAAGCAAAGGAAAAAGCAAGGGAAGTATGCAGGACCCGCCGTAAATGGGGAAAACCCCAAAAAGCAACCAAACCGCCCAGGACCAATCGGAAATGGGGGAAAAAAGCCAACAAACAAACAAACCCCCAAAGACTCATTGGAAATGGGGAAAAAACCCAAAACAACCAAACCCCCCAAGACCCATCAGAAATGGGGTAGAAAAAAACAAAAAACAAACACACTGCAAAAACACCCAGAACAGATTTTAAAAAGCAGAAAACAGCACCTTACCTTACCAGGCAGCCCGTAGCCTCCCTGCAAACACACACACATGTTCACTCAGAAGCAAGGCAGTCCCAAGCCTCCTCCGACGCACACTCTCTAACTGCTGGGGCAAAAGAGCTACAAAGAAGCAGCCTCGTCGCCACCTACAGTTAACAATTTAAATTTCCCGCCTTTCCTCCCGGCCTTTTTCTCTTCATAAGTGGAAGCTCTGGTCACAAGTGGAAGCAAAATTTTGTGGCCGGAGCTGGTCGTAACTCAAAATGGTCGCCAGTAGGGGCGTTTGTAAGTCAAGGCACCATTGTACTGGCTTCTTTTACTAACTTTGATCCATTATCACATGCACACATGCAGCAAAGTTTCCAGAACAGAAGCTTCATTGTGATAGGCTTTATATTTTATATTTTAAATCACACACATATGCATTTATTGCAAAGAAAAAATTATTAGCGTGCCCCACCCACCCCTTCCCATATGAAAGAGTAGACAGCTCTAACAATAGCAACAAAAACTTTAGGAAGAATAGAGATGTTTGTTGCAATTGAAATAGAAATGGCACTAAGGGACTAGTAGGCACTGAAGGAAAAATTTGGTTTCTATAAAATGGTGGCCCGTGAAGGCTGAAGTATCGAAGGAAAAAGAAGTGGAGCAAAGGAAACCTATAGAAAGGCACTTTGATCTCTTACAGTGAGAAGGTTTCTGGGGAGTTACAAGATATGTTCCTGTCAAAGTGGGAATCTTAATTTTTAAAATGGCACTTTAGCCTCAAGCTACTGTATACCAACATGAATTTGACCTAACTCTGGGAGGCAGTGGAAGACAGGAGGGCCTGGCGTGCTCTGGTCCGTGGGGTCACAAAGAGTTGGACACAACTTAATGTCTAAACAACAACAACAACTATAAACATATCAAAGGCTTTGCAATAAATTCGTAAAGCCTCAGTTTTCAATCTGTCTAGAGCATGGGTTCCCAATCTTGAGCAACCCACGTGTTCTTGAACTGCAACTCCTAAAAACCCTGGCCAGCACTGCTGGTGCCGAAGGCTTCTGGGAATTGCAGTCCAAAAACACTTAAGGTTACCCAAAGTTGGGAACTGCTGACATAGAGTATTCATATTTAGTGATTTATGATGGGGAGACCAAGTGAAAAGAAACTTGATGTTAGGGGCCCTGGAGACAGGGGGGGAAAGGTTGAAATGATGTTAGAAGAAAAGGATTGCCTGGGGATGCTCTCCTAAGAAGAAAGTTTTAAGATTAAAAAGAGAAGATCTGTTTGTTTGAACAGATCATGTTGGGCATTTGCAATGAATTCTGTCTGCCCACTTAACATCATCTTTCTTGAGCTATGGTGTTCCCAAGGTTGAGATATGATCTGAATCCAACTGGTTCTAACTAGAGTAGACTAAGTGAATCAATGACATGTACATAACTGTTGACTCACAATTCAAAAACTATTTCAGTGGGTTTATGCCACTTGGGACTAACTGCTGTATATAAGGTCCATTTCAACACTTAAAGGTAGAATGGCCAGCTCTTGATGTACTTCTACAACTACGGCATTTACTTCCTGCTTCTATAGCTACCACACAGCACCTCCTGTTGGTCAGAGCACAAACATCTTGCTTTATTTTCAGTCTTTCTGATGAAGAGGCAGCCATGTTTGAAGTTCCCTTCAAGCATCTACTACTCTTTACTACCTAGATTGGAAAATATCCTTTCATAGATTACATTTCCAAGAATCCGCAGCTGGCATGAAAATACGAAATATGTAAATAACTCTGTCTGAAATGTGCACAGACCATTAGCAGCAAGAAGACAAACCAGCTTCACCAAACTGCTTAGCCCTGTCAAAATGAATCCTGCCTCTGTGCCATCAGGAGCAGCTAGACTAGCTCAACTGGTTGAACCAGGGCTGGCATTCAATTATATTATTAATCGAGAGCCTGTCTCTCACTCTCATCTAGGGCTGGCTCTGTTCCATGCTCTCTTCATCAAGACAAAGCAGGAATTACGACTTCCCTTCTGTTAGGATTCATTCAGAATGGGCTGGGACAGTAAATGATACTGAAATCATCATGCCCTGTACAATATATGTTAGTAATTCACAACAGCACCTTGAAAACGCTAAGTAATAGGCAATTGGCAATTGGCAATTCTCCTTTTTATTACGTTAACTTCTATTCGTGCGAAGGAATGTAAACCTCCGAACATCAGAGGTTTTTTAAGCAGCTAATGTCTCTGTACACATTTCTGAAATGTGTAGAAACTACAGACTTGCTTACATAGAAGGAGAAACAGAGTGGGGGAGAGATTAGAATTAGTCTAACAAAGGCAAGGAAGTAGTTATTTCAGCGTCAGGCTGCTATTGCTAGGATTAGCACTGGTCCTAAGAGGGATCTCACCCCAGCTTGACACATAGTTACAGCATAAGACTGACATTGATTTACATAAGAAGAAGCAATTAGAGAAGGAGGCAGAAAGACAGCAACTTGATATATGTGCAAAGAGCTTCCAAAAAGCATTTGCAAGCCCCTTAAAAGACTACCATGCTATACAGTGCCATAAGACTGAATGGCAGCAAGGGAATCGTAAGCAGAGCAGTTGTCCAAAAATACCTTGACATGGATGAATGAATGGATCATCAACTTGCTAGAGGTTAGATATAACTGAATGAATCTTAAATAAACGATTATTGCTCCATCTTGTCACATCTTGTTTTTGTTTAAAAGCACTTAGAACTGGTATCTGAAAATACTTTTGCCACTCTGCTCTTGTGTTCTGATAATCTTTCCTTATTAACTGACATGATGGAATCAAAGTGATACAGTTTGGGAAGCTGCCCCACCCTGAAACAGGAATCATCTCTCATTTGCTTAGATGATATACTTGGGCTGCTCATCCTAAAACTGATCTAATTGAAGACAATATTTTCCTGTTCTGACTCCTCTTCTGTAATGGTACTGCAAGAACAATACTCTCCTCTTCCTCTTGTTGCTAACAGTTTCATATAATCAAGTTGTTCCATATTGCTGAGCTGTCTCTCCCTCATTATTAATTATGAGGGAGGGTTCATCAGGTGTGCAAAGGGGCAGTATTGGCACATTATGCTGTACCCAACCATTCCCTATCAAAATCTGCAGCTGCAAATAAATTTTGGAAATCCTAGAGATCATGGAGAAAATACAAGGGAAATGGGAATTCTGAGGCATTTGTCAAGAGGAGGGAAAGCTCATTAGTGAGAAAATTAAGAGTAACTGTTTACAAGAAAAGACCACAACAAATTATTTTATTAACAGCTATTATGCTAAGACTGTTGAATGGAATATCTACTGTTTGTAGGTAATATATTGTACAGAATCCCCTAGCCATCAAGAGCAGTACATTTTTCAATGTATGTCATATATGCTACTCCATAAAGTTTACAATAGTCCTTAAGAGAAGTCAGTTTTATTATCTCCATAATAAAATTAGCCTCTCCTAAGGGAAACAAGGACACTGAGGTTTGCCTAAGGCCAGGCAAGGATTTCTAAGATGTGGCTCATACTTTTAACCAATATGTTGTGCTAGCATTTCAAGAGTGCTCTTATTCTTTACACTGACAGTTATACAACTTTGGAAGTGTTACACAATATATGAAAATAATTATTTAGGGTGCTTTCAAATACTCTGATAAAAACTGTGGCAATACCAACAGTAGCATACTAATTATGCTAATAGTCCCTGCATAATAACTTCACACCATATATTGG